CTTGCTTCTCCATAGATCTAAACATTAACCCGTCTCCATTGTACCAAGTTTATTTTCATGCTGTAGAATAATCAAGGCAAAACAATAACATCTCCATGTAGCTTTTCAGGCGATGGAAACGCCACAAGCAAAGTTACATGGTGCACCTTTAAAACACTGAATCAAAACAACTCCCAAACTTCAAGCTACATAGACGGCAAGATAATAGCTACAAAAATGGGTAAAAATGCGATTGTAATGCCCTAATTACTTTGCAAGTTTCTTGTATCTTAGATCTCTTGGCCATAAAAACACAAACCCTGCATTTGTAGGCTGTGTTCTTTTCTTAAACAGAAAACACTCCACCCCACTTCCACCTTCTGAGGTCATGTGGTTATACAGGAAGTGCTCCATTGTATTTTTGAACTCCATACACCTTCAGTAGAATCATTTGGGTAATTTCAGCCCTGGGATTACCAGTCGTTAACTTGAAAACTACTGCTTTGTGACATAGTAAATTAGTAAATGGTTTAAAGTAAATTTTGTGTAATGAAAAACATTTAAATGCACTTTTGTTTTATTTTGCATTTTTGTAACCTTGATTCAAACCTATCAATAATTGTCCACACCATTATATAACCCCATTTTCCTCTTGCTTTCTTCTACGGCATCCTATTTTTAAACTGGGCTGTGTTATCACCTAATGTGCGTCTAACACCACATCTTTGAACTGTATTAACTTAGCCAGGCTTCTCGGGCGCTCCCAAACTGCGATTCGCCGGGAGCCCATTGACGGCAGCGAAGATCAAAGCGCGGAAGTGAAAGCCCCGCAGATACTGTCATCTTGTACAAATGTTTAGTGAACCGTAACCTGTATCTCATTACTTTTACACTCGCCTTTACCCCTCGCCGTGCCCGCCTGCTCTCCGGCCCGTCGTACAGTCCGGGATGAAGTGCTAGCATTTATTTGACCGATATTCACCCACTGTTCGCCACTGGTGTATTTATGCAGATCAATGTTTAAAACGTGTCTGTGAATAACCAAAAGCGTAGATAGGGAGTGGTTGTCTTAGTAACTGGATATATTACAGATGCGAGGAGTTGGTGTCCAAAAAAACAGGACATAAATTTACATCAACGCTGAAGGAGATGAGTAACAAATGTATCTTGACAGTTCTATTTTGGCTCTTCCAGTCAACTCCTTTTTTTTTAAAGGGCCCACTGTTTTCTGATCTATGTTATGTTTCTTCATCAAAACTTACCTGGAGTTGTGTTTTGTTTTATAAACACACAAACCGTGCATATTTAGGATGAGTTTTTCTCTCAAACACTCCACGGACCTTCACTAGAATCATTTCGATATTGTCAGCTCTAGATTCGCCAATCCATACTGAACAAAAGGTGACCTGAAACTTGAAAACTACCACTACATAACATCAGAAGGTGGAACAGGGCGTATTGATTTTTGGAGATGAAGACTCATAATCCTGGAATATTCAAACATGTGTGAATGAAACAGAACTCCAAGTATGTTTTTGATGAGGTAACAACATTATAACATGGCTAAAAGCTCACAATAGTCTGTTTTGCATAATATAAAGCATTGCACAAGAGGTGTTAGCTCATTCTATTAATCATAAGGAGGATTTGAATAGTGTCCAGAAAACATAACCGTATTACCGTACTCAAACATGCACGGGTAATACCATAAAACCACTTCAGGCATGTTTTTGATGAGGAACATTATAACATGGTAGATTTTTCATAATACCCCCTCTTTAATGGCCTTCATTGTGTTACTTGCTGGTCAAACATTTTCCAACATTACAGTAAATGAATGTGTCGCCTTCACTCTATATGTCCCCCTTTTCCTGTAACTGCTGTGTGTGTCTGGAGACCTGCTGTGCTGTCTGGCCCTGCGTCATCATCCAGTCTCCCACAATGGCACACATATGCCTCTGCCACCTCTGTGTCAATAGAGCTTCATGGGGTTTCTGATAATTAACAAGATGACAGACAAATCAAGTGACAACTGCAAGGTGGAGTTCATTTTCCACTGCTCCAAACCTCCCTGTTCTCCTCGCCCTGCTCTAATGCTTAAGCCTATTCTCCAAAGTGACATCCAGAAATGATTTAGATTAGTTTCACAGATGATGGGACAATGGTGGAATTAATGACGAACAGGCGCCTCATTATGGGGAATTGTGAGTCTGTAGAACTCAAGGAGGCTTGAAAGTTTGGAGATCACTCTAAAATCCTCCCCTGGTTGTTGTCATCGTCAGAAAGAAACCCACAATAACAATATGAAGGTATAATACTTATAACCTCCCTGTTGGATGACAGCAGCACTAACAACTCATCCCTTTACCTGTGTTTATGATCATGAGTCACCACAACAAACCATTTGCATTATCATTTGTTATTTATTGATTTAACTGGAGCAGTCCCACAGAGATTCAGACTCTCTTTTTCAGGGGTGTTCTGAACTTCAACACCTCAGTGAATTCTAGAAAGATTTTTTTTTTTTAAATGCCAGATGCCCTTCTTGACAATTTTAGGCATAGAACTTTTACTGACGTGGGCAAGAGGGACAAAAAGTCTTACCTACAGAAACAATGAAATACGTTGGTGAGATTTGGCCTGTGTAAATGTGTATTGATGACCCTACTGTTCTTGATCTGTATTTGTTTAACTGTTTTGGCTGTGTTGCCCTAATGGTCCTATATTATCTTGTGAGTTATCTTGAGTAATCTTTTATTATTAGTGTGTCTACATGTCCAAAGCTCAAAATCCTCTGTCCCACATTGTGATGATTTCATGAAGCAGTATATTTTACTTTTACTTCAATAAGGATGGAAAATTCCACGGCTGAATTCATCAGAATGATTCTGGTGAAGATGCATGGTGTTTAAAAACACAGTGAAGTACTTCCTGTATTACCATATGACATCACAAAGTGGTGTTTTCGGCTTGAGAGAAGAACTCAGCCTAAATATGCATGGTTTGAGTGTTAAAAAGGCAGGTTTGCGAGAAAAAACATTATAAATCAGAAAATAGTGTAATATGAGGCCTTAATTTAACTCTTTTGTGGTGTACTGGTCTCTCTTACAGTGTAGATTTAGAATATCAAGAGTTTAACCTACGTAAATAAAGGATGATTAATATACTAAATGACCAGCAACCAACAGTAACAACAATGCCGTCTGTGTATTAAAAAGTAGTAGTGGCATACACAACAAGTTAGCTGTGCCCTTCTGCAGTATCATTGATGATTGCAGACATCACGGGCCAGAGGCAGCGCAGTCTCTTTCTTCACATAAACTCGGGGTTAATTGTTACTTCCAGCACTATTGCACATCTTGCACTCACTGTGATCTTTGTTGATTGACCACTTCAGGAAAAAAGCTGTAACTCCTCCTCAGTTATAAATGTCAGAAATAGCTGAAATAGTTTTGTGAAGCTTTTAAGATGGAGTCTCTTGTGATTTTCTTTAAACTGGCATCCAATGTTAGTATTTGTATTTCTTTAAATATAGCATTGACCTAGTTTTGTGTGCGTTGTTTTGAATTGTAATAGCTTATATGTCTCGAAGTTGCATTCATTTGATTTGTTGCCTCCTCAAAAACACACCTGGATTTGTGTTTTGTTTCATTCACTCATGTTTAAATAACCTCGATATGTTTTGTTCAGTAGAAATTGGTAATTCCAGGGCTGAAATTATCCAAATGATTCTAGTGAGGGTACATGTGTATACAGTGGATACTTCCTGTGTTACTGCATGACATCACAAGATGGATCAGCGTTCATGACAGATGAACTCAGCCTAAATATGCAAGATTTGTGTATTAAACATGAGTGAATGACAACAAAACACAACTCCGATTATGTTTTTTTTTTTTGAGGAAACATTATACCATATTGTAGATCAGAAAATAGTGTAATATGGTCCCTTAAAAATCTTACCTATACTCTGAAAGGTAGTATCTGGAATTGTTTGTAAACTGGCTCACTTATGTTAGTCATGTATATTTTTCCATATTTATTGGTCAACTTGTGTGAATAAATAATTAGCCTCTGCAACTTTGAGCTGAATAGAGAATGCAGAATACTGCCCACAACCATAAGGGTAAATACGCCTCCATTTAAGTCCAAAATAATCTGTAACAATCCCAATTACACTAATATGTTTCTTCTATTTATACAATCCCCAGCTCTTCCCACATACGCTGATATGATCAGACGTATTCATTATCAAGGCTCCATTGCTTTCTGCAGCGCCTAATTGGGGATTCAGCAAAAAGCAAGCAACATTTGATATAATGACTTTCTCCCAAACAGGAATTGCAGCATTATGGCTCACTTTTTATATGCTCCGTTCCCCTGGGGTAAAACTGAGATGTCATCATTAGTGGCCGTTGGACTCTGGCCATGCTGAGCTGTGCAGAGTGGTCAGCGCCGAAACAACAGTAGCTAGCTGTGTTTTCCCTGTCTGGGTTAGCATGTGCGCTGTGACCCTAAGTGTGCTCCTGCGGAATATATTTAGGAAGTTAATGAGCAAGAAGGCTTTGTGACTGTGCCGAAAAGGGCATCGCTTTCTCTTCCGTCTCCTCAGGGAAAAAGAAGGTGAAAAGTTGGTCTGGTCAATTTTATTAACTCCACTGACCTTCACGCAAACAATTAACATTTACAGGAAACATGCCCCCTCCCATTTACTTGTTCATCTACGTCTTAATCTGCAACTCGCCCACTTCTTTCTCTGCTTTCTCTGGTGACTACAATCAAAGAAAAGTCACAAATTAGCCTCAAACTCTTTCCTGCCTTTTTAAAAAGACAATTGCAAGGTCGTGTGGATTATGCAGTGAAAATCCATTTGCAGTCCCCTGCCATGTAGTGTAATTGGCACACAGCGGCCACACACTTGTAGTATAGTCCCTACTGTGTAAACTGTCCCTTGATTCTTGTCAGCTCAAAAAGAAAATAAGATCTCTATTAACCAAATGTGTGTTGTGTACCCTTTGCAGAACCTGATAAAGAACCTGCCCGAGCAGAAAGAGTTGAGTGCGCTGGCCGAGCTGAAGGGAGAATATGATGACCTGGTTGAGTCGGAACAGTTTAGCATTGTGGTGAGTAACTTTCATGTTTAGAAATGAAATGTCTTGTTCTTAGTTGCATCATTAGTAACACGGTAAGACAGATTTGGTAAAAAAAAAAAAAAAAGATATTTTATTGGATATTCTATTAGATAAATGATTGTATTTGAGAATTGGGAATCAAATTTGATTGGATGTCAATGCCCTATTAAAGTGTTTTGCTCAAAGACAAGATTGATGGGCAAATACTGTATCAACTGAGCATCTGGCTTCTATCCCGTTTTCAAACCACATACTGCTAACTGCATTTAGACATTTACTTTCTAGGTGAAATAAAATGGCTCAGACCAGACACCTCACTTTGTCCAACCTAGTCAATACAGTTCACCAGTATCTTGTTAATGTTTGCGGTGTCATATGGATCCCCTCTTTAACATGTAGGACCAAGTTAGGGCAATTTAATTTTGCATTTATGTAGGGTTTGCACACATAAGCAGAGGGATTACTATTTGTATTTGTGTTTTTCAGCATTTTCAGACTTTTTCTCATTCAAAAGATATATTTTGTTTTAAATTGGTGCTCTCTATGGCAGCCGTCCTAATTTTTCATCATCGTGAAACCCATGGATGGAAGGATTTCTCTGTAGAATAACAGTACAATTTTAGATCAGATTCCGGTAACTGCAGCTCCACTGAATCCCAAAATTAAATACTACTATTTCCTCATTTTTTTATCGAGAAACATTATTATTTTTTATTTTATGCAATTGAAAAATTGCACTTCAAGTTAAGTTCAGTTCATCTAAAAAACCTGGCTGTTTTGCAAAGAACACTTCTTTTGATTGGAATCTAACTTCAACACCTCACTGAAAGCAATGTTTTGACATCTCGTGTCAAGGTTGTCTCACGATAAAAACATACCCTTTGGCGAAAAGATCCTGCCTGTTATAAAGTTCTGTGGAAAAAAGCTAACATGCGCACTCAAACCACTTGATGATGTTCTCAAAGCTCTTACTGTTCCACTATTGATGTGTTTTGAATGTTGGATGTTTTGCTTTTAGAGAGTCAAAACACATAGGGACTTATTGTAAACTGTAGACTTCAGTAGTGGATGTTTTTTTCAGAACTCAATAATGTTAATATTTTAGCCCAATTCAGAACAAAGGTTTTCACTGAAATGAACCTGGGCAAAGGACAAGTACATCCTGACCTTTACGTCCTACCCATCACTGTAATTACTTTTTAATTAAGCCCCCCTTTCATCCATTTACAGTTTTTAGTGAAAAAAAAAAACATATTTTTCAATTTATAAATATGCCGATAATCGCAGAAGTACATTCCCACACTTTACAGAAAATGTTCAATTAGGCGCAGGGCTGCAGATGGAGCCCTCTCTCAGTAGATTTCAGTCCTCTTTTCACCACCCGTTTGGTGCCTACGCCTTTGAGCCCATATAATGAAAGTTGGGGGCGGTAGACTCTTGGTGATCTCACCAATGTAGAGATGACATACCACCCTACTGATGAAGTAGCTCCTCGACGTGAAGCTATTTAGTTCCCCTGGGAAATAAGCCATGTTCAAGCTTTTCCCTGCCAAAGCTGTCACTGCCACAGCGCCTTTCTTTGTGAGCTCTACTTATTGTATACAAATCCGAGCGGGCGCTGATGAGGGAGTGAGAGGACGAGTGTGTGAATGGAAGATCCTGCATGGACTGGTGGACGGGAGGAGGATTGTTTGACAGAAACTTGCCTATACTCATGAATACATTTAAGCAGTAATCAAACATTACTAGATGGATCTGAAGGTTGCCTTCAAGCACTGGATTATGCAGCAATCTGTGCGGTTGTTCTGGGGCGGCTGCTTTGCCACATATCTCAAGGCAAAAATAGTCTGTTTGTTTTAATTTCATTACATTTTAATATCTCTTTGGTTGATTCTACATGTCAGAAAATATACTGTGTACACAGAAGTATACATTAGCATGTATGCAAACACTTGATATTTTAATTTATTACAATTGAATGGTAACTGGAATGGTAACAGCTTTAAAGAAATACCTTTAAAGGTAAAAGTAATTTAGAATTTAGAGTAGTTACTAAAGCTAAAGATGCATATAAATAGCAATGTCAAAACAGACTAACTGGGTAATTGTTATTAGTATCTTAACTGTAGGATAGCTACATCTTATTTCAAAACTAATTATAAACAAGCCTTGATAACTTAACATAATTTGACAGTGACTCTGCATGTTTGTGGCTTTTCATATTTCATGTTTTGTAATTATTATTTTTTTTATTTAATATTATTTTTTTACCCAGAGTCAAAAATTCAAGGACTTAGTAAATTAGCTCTTATATTTGAGGTGCACTGTGTACTATTCTGTACATGGATGTTTCCATTAGTGTAAAAAGCTTTTAGAAAAGGAAGAAGTTAGTCCTTCCCCTTTGCAGTGACCCATGTAACCATTTTCCCTTAATTAATGGCTTCTGTACATGTCTATGCGGCATCATTTCCTAACAGTTCTTTTTTGCTTTATTAATATGCAAAATAATAACCAAATTTTTCCATTGTCTTTCTCAGTTCAGATCTTTTAAAATACAGCATATGGACTTCTGCAGACAATAACCTAACTCCTAACTTACCACTCCATAATGTATTCCATGTTCACACCTCCACTCTTTTCCCGCAGATGAGCTCTGTGAAACTCCTACGACCGCGTCTCAACGGCATCCTGTTCAAGCTGACATTCGAGGAGCAGGTCAACAACATACGGCCCGACATCATGAGCGTGACATTCGCCTGTGAGGAGGTGAAGAAGAGCGAGGGCTTCAGCAAGCTTCTGGAGCTGGTGCTACTGGTGGGCAACTACATGAATGCAGGCTCCAGGAACGCACAGACCTTTGGCTTCAACATCAGCTTCCTTTGCAAGGTAACACATACTGGCACTAAGCACATGGGAGACATGACATGACACAAAGAAGATCAAATCAGATTTTACTAACATGGAAAGTGATTGTGTGTGGTTAATATTTGAGAATAAATGTGTAAAAAGGAGGTATCGTATGTTGTTGTTATATTTTTGGTGCTGTTCAAGATTGAGACCCCAAGTATTTGTGTTGGTGTTAACGTTGTCATCATACAACATTTTCAAGCTAATTTCGATACTAATGGTAAGGTTACACAAAATACTGATTTTGATATCATGGTGACAAAAAAAAAGAATGAACAATCAGTAATTGTACTTGCAATGCATGCTTGATACTAGTTATTATATTGATTAGTATTGGCATATGGATACTTTGACAACTCTTAATACATATCTAAATAATTTTGTTTGATTTCATATGGAAAAAAAAAAACAAAAAACAACTTCATCCATTGTATGCAGACAACCACACAGGAGAGTGTGTCCGTAATGCTCAAAACAACAGCAAAACACCAGTGGAAGGCCTAGTTGCAGAATCATTGTTTTCTCTCACCTGTAAATAAATCTCACCTCTGTATAAGACAATATGTAGGTGTTTCTTCTGCAGTTTTCATTTTGACACAGTATGAAAAACTGCAACATTTTTAAACTGAGCAGAGCATCAACTACAGACCTGCTTCTTGACACCAGATTTATAGTTGAAATAGATTGACAGCCTTTGAATTGTATGTATGGTCAAGTTCAAGTGGGAAAAAAATCATGTTTAAAGGGCCTGTACTTGGATTTTTTTCCATGTGTTTGGGCAGAATATGTGTTCAACATACAGAAATATTGTAGCCTGATTCATCAGCCGGTTTCATTTCGTGGAAACTGTCTGACCTTGCAGCATTAGGATTTGTTCACTTGACAGGAGACGGGTGCTTTTTTATTTAAGCAATCGCTGCTATTTGGTTGTGACATATGTAATGCGCCAAATCGCGTAGGAAGAAGGACAATAATTTCTTACCCCTTGATAAAATTCATCAAGCATTCTCTTTTTTTCAACTTTAAATCCTTGATCTCAAGAATTGTTGCCAACACAGAATGTATGGCTTCGTCTACATCCATTTTGACCTCTTTGTTTACTGTTGAGCTGTATCACAGAAGGGACCCAGACAGGCACTTGAGTTTGACGTCATGGCTTCACAGCTCTTCGCTGATTGGCTACAACTGTCTACAACTTCCGGGGTTCTTGCAAAGTGTCTAGTGTATTTCGATTCCTGGTCTCGTCGCTGGAGAGAAATGAAATTGAGTGGAGGTGGCTCCAGCCTGGCTATAAATACTGTATGAGTAGCTCTTAAAATCAAAATAGGTCCACTGGACACCGTCTGCATCTGATCATAAAGGTTTTATTATCATTTCATTTTACTATCATCAGCAAGTACACTGTTAGGATGCTAGTTAGGGTGACAGTAGCTCAGTTGGTATAGCGTTTTTTTTCCACTGATCAGAAGATTAGTGGTTCGAATACGGCTCCCATGGATCGTTGTTGTGACCTTGGGCAATACAACCCACCTTGCCCATAGTGTCTGTGTATAGTGGTGTAAGAATGTGTGCGAATGGGGGAGTAGTTCCTTGTTGCGAACCGTTTTGAGTGCCTTAAAGGTGTCCATTTACCATTTTTTTGTTATTATTAGCATTACTGTGATGGAAAAACTCCACTCTGGCCTATGAAAGTTATGAAAAGAGCTTATAAACTCATTGAGGTGAATAATTAGGATGCTCGGAATGCTAAAGTTCATTGAGGTTTAACTTTGGACAACTGTAAACTATTTTAAATGAACTGTTTTCATGTTTTTAAGACAGTAAAAATCGCTTTTAAATTTTTTTGTTTTTCCACCCAAACCTACGAACAAGGTATAAATAACAATATGTCAGAGGTACTATACAAGATACTACTGTCTTTTGTGACACACATCATGTTTCATTTTTATTTTTGTTGATGTTTCCTGTTTCCCCATTTACACTCATTTGTCAAAAGAGGCTCATAATTCAATGGGCAACGCTGTAGATTAGAGAGATTATTAGCTCTGGGGATTTGAGCCAACCTCCACTGTCCACTGCCAGAGAAATCTCAGCATGTGTGAGGTGTGAAAAAAGCACATTTGGCAACACGTTTAGCTAACAGTGAGTACAGCACAGCAGCACTTGAGAGGGATCAGCTCATTCAAACCCCCAGCAGCATCAGACAGGTAGAGACATAAGAGGCGGTGGTTTGGGCCGCGAAGGGAGAACCAACTGTCATGTCCCGTATAGAAGCTAGCAGCTACAGAACAAGAGTTTAAGGTGGAACTTCAAATGTGCACTTTTTGTATTGGTTTACTACTGCGAGTAAATTCCAGTCTTAAAAGTAAAAAGTAATGACCCACCAAAGTCCACCAAAGTCCTGAAATATAACTTTGATATTTTTGTCATTTTGTTGATTATAGGCCCTATACCTGTTTTTATTTTCCCTTTTTTTCCAAATTTGTCTTGCCCCCATATCTATGTATTGTAAACACAGTCCACCGTGTCCTCTGCCTCATGTAACGGTTAGCATGCTAGTTGTTCCTAATATTACCGAGATGGGAAAACTCAGCTCTGGTCTCAAAAAGTATAGAAAAAACACTTATGAACTCATCTTTGTGAATATTTAGAATGCTCAGAATGCATAAGGTTAAGTGAGGAATAACTTGGGAGAGTAAAAATCAGGTGCAACCCTTTTAAGTGAGCTTATTTTTTCATACATATGAAGTTATACTTTCAGTCAGTCAGATGACATCCCAAAATACATTGATACTTTACAGTGACATCATGCTGGGGGTAAAAACATGATTTAAACAACACATTTTCAGGAGTGAGGAGTTTGATTTTCAACAAAAACATGAAAGTAACTGAAATAAACTGAAAGTCTTGTGACTGTAATTTTATGTGTGAGAGACTTGTTTAACCATACAAATCAGCTCACCTGTCTTTATGGTCAGATTGTAAAATAAAACTCAGGGAATTGTGATGACATCGGCTGCAAAGTACCAATAATTTTAAAGATATATATATATATATATATATATATATATATATATATATATATATATATATATATATATATATATATATATATATATATATATATATTTTATTTTTTTTTTTTTTTTTTATTCACATAGATTAAGTACTCTTGTTTATTTCTATTTTATGGCACTGTATAAGTCAAACATCCCTTTGATATTAAAGTGCATTCTGCATTGGCATCTCATCCACCTGACCATTTGCCAAGAGGCTGGTGCCAACATCTAACAGGATGAACCTCAATCAAAGTATGTACTGCTACAGAGTAAACATGATGGGAACAAAACACTTTTCTCATAGCCAAGAATGTTCTATCTCAGTCATTTATCTTTAGGAAATGTTAGTTTTTAAAACATGGTCCAGTGTAGTCTACATGTCTGATCCGAGATGACTGGAGGTGTCAGGGTTCACTAGACACTGTGGTGAAAAAAACAGGAAATTAGCTCTTCTCTTTTTAGTCATGGTATTTAAAAATCCTGCCATGACAGCACAGCTCAGTATGAGAACAAACTATTATTTTCACAGCATGTGAAAGTGATTGTGGATTTTTGACTTTTTGCCCTTCAGCTCTACCCAAACAAACTATATTCTGGTAAGGACTAAGCATACCTATTTACAGAATAGCTGTGCAATTGATAGCTATTATACTTGACAAAACAGTAGTGTTAAACATGTTCTACAATATCTTAAAGGTCAAAGTTAGATTTTTTTGTTAGAAACATGTATATATAAATATAGCTAACCCTGTCATTTTGGTCTTAAAATGTTTGTATTAACCTGCTCTACACGATCCTGGTGTTTTTCTTTCACTTTTTTGTATGTAAAGAAATTCCTAATCCTAATGGACCTGGCTCCAAATTTGCTCCTATAACTGCCAGTCATCATGAGCTTCCTTTGACTGGAGCTGACGCTATAGGTGACATCACAGTTCACATTTATATACAGTCTATGGTTAGAATTTAAGTTGTACAAGCAGAAAAAAAAGCCTCTCACTTGTTTTGTTGGTGCAAATAGTGTGCTGACTCTACATTTTAACACTCATATTTTAAGTAACTTTATTAACTGACTTCCATTAGTACACAGAATTATTATCAGATTTTCCATAACAAAAGCTGCCAAAAAGATACAAAATCTGCAATCCCCTTAATAGTCAGAGAGACGCGTTAGCACTCTGAATGAGACAATCACAAGATATAAAAGCATCTGACTTGTACATCTAAGTTAAAAAAAGGCTTATGTATGCTTATTTGTGGAAAAAAACCCACATTGCAACGAGTAAGTAATAAAGGCAAGAGAGAGGGTGTGGGAATACAGAGCTCTCAAGCTAACAGAAGGATTGCCTCTGCTTGATTGTTCAATTTCACTTGTGTAGATAGAGCAGTGGCAAGGGGCAAACGCAGTGCAGCCCGGCAATGTATTAGCACGTATGATTGTGGATAAGAAGAAGAAAAACATGTGCTAAATGTAAAACGGTGGTGGGAATTGTGTGCTGTAAATACGGGGTTATCTGTAATGCAATATGTCACTTGCATTACCAGTAATTCCCTGTGAAAATGCCTGTTTTTGAAGGCAAGGTCAAAGTAATGTAGTGGGGATTAATATATTTCTGAATGGGATATATAGCATGTTTGGTTAGGTTCAAAAACAACTGCGATTCAAGCAGGTTTTAAAATTTGAAGCATATATGTTATCATCTGAAGGTTACAGGGGTATTTCAAAACATGTTAGTGTGCTTATATGTCCTCTGTCAGAAGCGATTTCAATCATTTTATCATGAATGCCTGAAAACCCAAGCTCACACCTGCGTCACTTATTGTCCATGACATGTTTGATAAGCACAACTAAGTAACATTTTGCCTTATTAAAAGTCCACCTGTCCACCTGATGGTAAATTTGTATTTTTGGGGTGTTTGAAG